GTTTCCGAGGCTGTAAATCTTTACGGGAGCAGAAAGCCTCATCTTTCTCCCATGGAACAGCTGGTAGTTTCGAACTGCTGACCTTGCGCTTTGCAGACCAATTCATAACTACTACGCTACCAGAGCTCCTTTACTAGTTACATAGTTTATATAAAACAACAATAACAGCTAACACATAGCACTGAATTATCAGTCAGGCATCAGCCTAAGTTTTACACATACCAACCTATTTAATAAAAACAATGATAGGAGGTAAATTCTATTATGATCCTCATTTTATAGATGAGGAAACTGAGGCACAGATAAAATAACTTGCCCAAATTAATAGTTTATGCATGAAGTGAATATTCAAACCTTGGTAATTTGGCTCTAGGGACTGTGACTCATCAAGTAGAAGCAAAAAAAAATTACAAACTACTAATTCAAACCTGGACCTCAGGTATGCTGTAGGATAAGCACTGGACTGTGAACCACAAGGTCAGCCATTCAAACGAGTTGCTCCATAGAAACTCTGTATGGGGTCGCTATGAGTCAGAACTGACAACATGGCGCTTAACAATTCAAACCTTGGTAGTATGGCTCCAGGGACTATAAATTCAGCAAACTGAGGCAAAAACAACAAACAAACAAACAGTCTTGCTAATGGAAACTATCTTTAACACAGGACAAATGAAGGCTCTAATATGTTTTTAAGAAACCTACACCGTAAAACTGACAAGAAGCTTATCCTTTTACCTTCTTATTTCTGTCCTTCATCTTCACAACACTTGCTATGCAAACGATTTTTGAGGTCCACTAAAAGAAACTGAAAACACTATACCCATTCTAGTCTTTAGCAACAACCAGGCTAAATGAGTTCTAAAAAAGCTTACATTTACAGAAATATAAGTTTTTCATACTGGAATTAGGTTTGCCATGCTAAATGAAGCACATTTTAACCATGAGGAGACAAAGGTTTAGAGAAAGGCAATAATTTGACTGTTATTGCTAAGTGCCCTCAAGTTGATTCCAACTCATAGTGACCTGTATAGGGTTTCCATGGAGCAGCTGGTGAGCTTCAACGACTGACGGTGCAGTTCAAATGAACTTGCAGTCCACAGACTTAATCTGCAGCACCGCACTAGGACTACATAATTTGCCTAAGAGCTCATTATTAACTGTTGGGTAAAGTTGTTGTTGTTAGGTGCCATCAAGTCGGGACCAACTCATAGCGACCTTATGCACAGCAGAACGAAACACTGCCCGATCCTGGGCCAACCTCACTACTGTTGCCACGCTTGAGTCCATCGATGCTGTTACTTGGCCAATCCATCTCGTTGGGGGTCTTCCTCTTTTTCTCTGACCCTCTACCTTACCAAACATGATACCCTTCTCCAGATACTGGTCCCTGCTGACAGTATGTCCAAAGTATGAGAAACAAAGTTTGGCCATCCTGGCCTCCAAGGAGCACTCTGGCTGTACTTCTTCCAAAACAGATCTAAAAGTTGGTTCTTTTGGCAGCCCACGGCACTTTCAATGTTCTCTCCTCCAACACCATAACTCAAAAGCATCAATTCCTCTATGGTCTTCCTTATTCACTGTCCAGCTTTCGCATGCATATGTGGTTATTGAAAATACCATGGCATGGGTCAGTCACACCTTAGTCTTCAAGCTGACATCTTTGGTCTTCAACACTTTAAAAAAGGTCTTGTACAGCAGATATGCCTAATGCAATACATCATTTGGTTTTTCGACTGCTATTTCCACGAGTGTTGATAGTTGATCCAAGAAGAATAAAATCCTTGACAACTTCAATCTTTTCTCCATTGATAAGAATGTGGTTTATTGATCCAGTGGTGAGGATTTTTGTTTTCTTCACATTGACATGCAATCCATACTGAAGGCTGTGCTCTTTGATCTTCATCAGTAAATGTTTTAAATCCTCTTCACTTTCAGCAAGCAAGGCTGTATCATCTGCATATCACAGATTGTTAATGAGTCTTCCTCCAATCCTGATGGCAAAGTTGAACACCCGAACTCCTAACTTGATTTTTTTTCTTTCAACTCAGATTCCTTAAGGTGTAATGATATCTGTGATAGAAGTCCTGGTATGGTGCTGTGGGTTAACGCAAATGATGAAGAGCCAATAGTACTGAAGAAAGAAGTCTAAGGCACACTGAAGACACTGGAAAAAAACAGTGCTATGGAAATTGATGGAATACAAATTGAAATCTTAAACAAATTGATACAGCACTGGAGGTACTCACTCATCTATGCCCAGAAATTTGGAAGACAGCTACCAGGCCATGTGATTGGAAGAGATCCATATATGTGGCCATTCCAAAGAAAGGTGAAAAAGTGGAATGCACAAATCATCAGATAATATCATTAATACCAAATGCAAGTTAAAAGTTTGCTACAGATAATTCAAAAAAGGCCACAACAGTGTAATGACAAGAAATGCCAGAGTTTCAAATTGAATTTCGACAGGACGAGGAACAAGGGAAAGCAATGTTGACGTCAAATGGATCTTGGTTGAAAACAGAGCATACCAGAAAGACATTTATCTGGGTTTTATTGACTACAGAAACGTTTCAACTGTGTGGATCAAAACAAACTATGGATAACAGTACAAAGAATGGGTATTTCAGAACACTTAATTGTGCTCATGAGGAACCTGTATATAGAGCAAGAGGCAGTTGCTCAAATAAAACAAAGGGAAATGGAATGATGGGTTTAATATCAGGAAAGGTGTGTGCAAGGGTTACATTCTTTCATCATACTTATTCAGCTGTAAGGCTAGCAGATAACCCAAGAAACTGTAATATATGAAGAGGACTGTGGCATCAGGACTGGAGAAGACTCATTAGCAAACAACCTGAGATATGCAGATGATACAATATAGTTGCTGGAAGCAAAGGGGACTTAAAATACTTACAAAGACCATAGCCTTTGTTATGGGTTGCACCTCAATGTAAAGAAAACAAAATTCCTCACCACTGGACTAATAAATAATATCATGATAAATGGAGAAAAGATTGAAGTTGTCAGAGACCTCATTTTGCTTGGATCTGCTATGAACACTCATGGAAACAACATTCAAGCAATCAAAAGGTGTACTGTACTAAGAAAAACTGCTGCACAAGACCTCTTTAAAGTGTTCAAGAGCAAAGCATCAGTTTGCTGACTAAGGTACGCCTGACCCATGCCATGTGATTTTCAATTACCTCATTCATGTACATAAGAAAGTTGGACAATGAATAAGATGACTATAGAAGAATAGATGCATCTGAGTTGCAGTGTTTAAGGAGAATATTTTAATGGCCATGGACTGCCAGAATACAAATGTATCTATGTTGGAATTAGTACAGTGAGAATGCTCCTTAGAAACCAGGATGGTGACACTTTGTCTCCCATACTTTGGACATATTATCAGGAGGGACTAGTTACTAGAAAAGGACATCATGCTTGGTAAAGTAGAGGGTCATTGAAAAAGAGATGGATTGACAAACAGCAATGGACTCAAGCATAACAATTGTGAGAGTGGCGCAGGAACTACAGAATGAGACACTATCAGGTCCTGTGCCAACCTCACAATTGTGAAGTCTGAGCCCAATGCTGCTTTGTCAATCCATCTCTTTTCAATGACCCTCTACTTTACCAAACATCCTCGTGCCCTTTTAATGTCAACAGTTGGGACTGGGAACCAAGGGAAGGTTTGCAGCCGAGTCATGTGACCTTACTTCATTGAAAAAAAAAAAAATCCTGGCTGCTATTTGGAGACCAGACTCTGAAAAATGGAAGAACAGAATCAGGAAGTTACAATACAAGCAGCAAAGATGGGGGTTTAGGAGAGGGTAGTAGAGGTGGTGATGGTGACAGGTGCCTAACAGAAATGTTATAAACAAAATGATGGTACTGTAAGATCACAGTAACCACTTTTACTCTGTATCAACTTATTTACTTGGAACAAGTACTTAGTATGTTGACTAAGTACTCCAAATTAGTAATTTACAAATAGAAAAGGGAGAGGCATGCATAGTAAAAAAAAACATGTTCAAAAATATATTTTATATTTGGAAAATTTAAAACAAAAACAAAGCACCTTAACTGAAAAACCCTGGTCTAAAAGATAAAGCTTATATATTTAAAAATCTCATCTACAATTCAAGAAAGAGAAATATTTGAGCTACATCACCTCATCGAAGTCTCCTCTCACAATATGAACATCACCGGCTAGAGTCTTGAGATAGTCATAACTCTCTTTGGTGCAAAGGTTCCCTGTGCAGAGAATATGCTGAATCTTCCCGGGTACCAGAAGTTTTTTGAATTTCGCCGGCAAGCTGTTACAGCGGTGTGGGATGTGCAGATCTCCTAATACCAGCACCAACTTTAAAGTGTCAAGTGAGACAATGTACAACGTTAAGTATGTAAAAACATGATGTAGATTATGCCAAAACAGTTACATGTCCGTCCACACTGTCCTCCCATCACTCCCCCTTTACTTTAAACTCATCAGAGACTCCAGAACCCAATAAAACCTATTTATATTGTTCCTATTGTGACCATCTAAATACCCAATGGGTAACATATTGTTTTCATTTTGGTCAAACAGTTGTGCATACAAATAGGAGGCAGGCAATCTATTTATCAAAAATAAAATCAGGCATTCTACAGGGATTCATTGAACTGAAATCAAACTCACTGCTGTCCAGCTGGTTCTGCCTTACAGTGACCCCAGTGACACTAAAGGGCAGCACAGAACTGCTCTACAGAGTTTTAGAGACTGTCAGTCTTTGGGGAAGCAGAGAGCCTCATCTTATTCTCAGCAGCTCCTACTCTGAATAAAAATATTTCAAAACGAAAATATACTCCTAAACCCTATGAAATGTGATAGTTTGGAAGACTAATATGGTCATTTTTAGTTTTGAAGTTGTAATATAAAACCTCACACACAACTTCAGGAGCACCAATAAAGGGAATTGTTGAAAAATTTCTAACAATAGACAAAGCTAATATGGTAATGTAGTTGCTAATTAAAACTATTCACTATAAACAATTAAGTTCCAGAGATGCAATAGGATAATTTTAAAACACATGCTTCTGATTTATTAGTTTGATATTTTCTCTATCTTCCTTATTAAAAATCCTTCTGCCCTATTTTTATCTGGATTAAAGTTTTCTATATACTCTCAGCATAGTCCCCATATTTAAAAAAGTAACGGTTTCACAATGTTATTGCGCCCGTGCATTAGAACATTTTAAGAAATGGAACAACTAAGTAAGTGATGGATTTAGCAGCTAAGTGGCTCTGAGTTGCATTACAGTCTCAGATCACATAAACACATTTTGTTCTTAAATATTGAGAAAAAACTCAAATCTGAAAATTTTTAATTTAATATTTTCAAGATTTGACATACATTATTTAATTTAGCTGTTTAACAGAGTACTGTCAAAAGGTTATTTTTAAGCGATATCTGTCCTTCAAAGAAAAACACAATTTCTTCATTTACATGTTCTATCTCTAAATGTACACACTTTAACTGCTCTGGGAGAACGCATGAATAACTGTTTCTAAATATGATATGAGAAAACATTAAAAATCTAAAATAAAATAGAAAATAATTCTGCCGCCACAGACTGCAAACTGAACAAAAAATAAAATGCAAGAAAATTAAAATGATTAACTAAAGCAAGCTTCATTCATTTTGCAACAAAAATCAAAATGAGTACAGAGGACAGAAGTGTTATGAGAACAGAGTAACTAAGGTAACATGGGTTACAAAATTAGCACCCTTTAAAGTCCAATGTAAATGAGTTTCTCCTTTAAAAAGAATAGGACTTTTGGCTGGTGTATGTTCAGTCTTTCAGTCCAGATCTTAGTGAGCATAGCAATCTGTACAACTAAAAATCACCATGACGTTTCCAGCCTTGTAATCAATACTAAAGTACCTGGAGACAGAGCAATCTTCATCTTTAGAAGGGGATGCCTTCAGAAATGGGTTGAAGTACATAATTAATGTGGGAAGCTGGCATTTGGAAAAAAAGGTAAAAAATAGATTTCTATGTTAAAAAAAAAAAGAATCCCAAACTCATAAAAGGGCAAACGCCTATTTAAAAAAAAACAACAAAAGAACCAAACCTGTTGCTGTCAAGTTGACTGCAACTCATTGCAACCTGACTGGATAGAGTGAAATTGTCCAATAGGGTTTCTAGACTGTAGGTTTGACAGAGGCAGACTGCCACATCTTTCTCCCATGGAGTGGCTGATGGGTATGAATCACTGACCTGTGGTTAGCAGGCAAGTACCACCAGGTTCCCTAAGTGTCTGTCACAGGTTAAAAATGTTTGGGATTAATAATGAGTCTTTTAGTCTGAATTTGCTGGAAATAGAACATTAGTGAAACATGGTACTTTATAAATTCTATAAAGTACTGTGGATTATCCCCACGTGCACGAAAACTATTAGCAGTCTAAAGATAAAACTGTATGAATGTCCACACAAATGATTTCAAATTAGTAAGCATCCTTATTAGAACAGGATCCTCTAGATTCCCACAGGGAGATACATTTTTGGGGAAATAGTGTCACATAACAAATGTTTCAGGAGTGTCTTTGACCAAATTCCACATGTTGATAGGTCAGGTTAGAGACTGATTATGGTTTTTTTTTTTAAATAGCAATAGATTCTAGAATAGCAGTCTTGTTAGATTCAAATAAGGAACCAACACAATCAAAACATGGGAATTTGGTTATTTCCTACTTGATAGACCTTAAAAGGGTGAGAACTCAGCAATCAGCCACCCAACCACCACTGTTAGTAGGAGCTAAGAGAAGAAACTTACTCTGTGCCCAGCCTTAGTGGAATGAAGAAGTTGATTGCAGACAGGGGGATGGAAAAAAAAGGGTGAAACATGACCAATGTTAAAAGAAAGCAACAAAAATAAACCAACCAAAAAAATAAAAAGAACCTAAATCCAAATGAAAATGCAAACATTTGTTAATGATTTTTGAGTATTATTAAAGAAAATGTTAAAAATCAGCTTTGCTTAAACAATTCTAAAAGAACAATTTGCTGTAATTTAATACAAAACACACACACTCTTAAAAATTTGCCTTGTCAATTTTTTCACAATCTTGAACTTCCATCCCTTTTGTTTCCTGTTGTTCAGACTTTTATATAATAATCTGATCAATTAACAAATAACAGTTTAAATGAAGGATAATATTTTCTGGATTCTTAGAGTCAAATTTATTCCTTAGATATACTGATTTTATGTTCAAAATCTGGCAGTTGAAAAATTATGCAGTAGCTAGGTGATTCTTTTTTATAGAGGATCTAACACAGCTCAGTGAATACATGATCATATAATGAAGTTGCCAACTAAAGATGATAAACTAAAACCAAACTACTGCCATGGAGTCGATTCCAACTCATAGCAACACTATGTTTCTGAAGCTGTCAATCTTTACAGAAGCAGAGAGCCTCATCTTTCTCCTGAGAAGAAGCTGGTGAGTTGAACTGGTGAGTTGAGGCTAGCAGTCCAGTGCTTATTCTATAGTACCATCAGGGCTCCTTACAAAAACACAATGCTGTTAAGTGCTATTGAGTAGGTTGTAGAGATGATAAAAACAAACTCCTTTTTTACCAACTCGAGTTGGCTCTTCCCCACACCCACATTTGCTGCCCTTTAAACTATGGAGCCCTGGTGTGGGACACAGGATAGGTACTCGCCCTCAACGTCTGCAGTTTAAACTCACCAGAACTCCTCAGAAACCCTATACAGGGTCGCTATGAATTGGAACCAACTCAATGGCACTTAACAACGACAAAACTCTGTACACACACTTTATACTGAGTGTTGAACATCTCTAGATTCCTTTGCCAACAATGCTTCTAAATCATAAAATATGATTCAGAACCAAGTCGACACAACACATTAACAATTGACTTTTGCACAATTCTTTCACACACAAAAATGATGTACCACTACGATTCTCCTTAAAAAAAGCATGTTTGCCTCTCAAAAGAGCTTCAGAAATGTGAATAACTGTTCCAAAATGAAAAAGAACTTTGGCAAAGGATTTGCTGCCCCTGTAAATGGGATTCCTCGTGTGGTGCTGTAGGATAAGCACTGGGCTGTGACCCACAAGTTCACGAGTTCAAACTCATCAGCTGTTTCTAAGGATCCCTACACAGTGTTGCTATGAGTCAGAACCGACTCAATGGCACCTAACAACAGTACAGAGCAGATTTTTCAAATTTGAATAAACCCCTAATGTTCCTTTCTATGCTTCTTTATCGGATCTACAGTGACAAGACGGTGAGATTAACAACTGAAACCTGTTTATAAACAAATGCCAACGCGTGGAGTTAAAACCTTTTATATTATATAAAGACGGGGCGTGGGGAGGCTATAAGCCACTTCTTGGAAAAGGCAATGTTTGGCCCAATATTGTGAGAAACTTCAAAATGCAAAGGAGATAAGTCCCTTTACAATTAACCTCATCAACATGAACATCAAGGTAATCAGGGTTCCTTCTGAAACAGTTCTTAATTTTTTAGGGGATCAGGGGCCACTTGAAAATATGCTGGCAGCTATGGGTCCCCTTCAGCAGCAGACCCTGAAGCTTTAGGTCTCGTGAGTAAGAAATGTGTTGAGGGTGCGGGGGGTATTGGGCTAGAGGAGTCTGACAAAGGTGACGGGCAAAGCCCTTCAAACCCCCCTTCACATCAACACTGGTCCTCTTCCCATTAAACTAAACCCCACTGCTATCGACTCATTCCCATTCATCGCGACCCTATATAAATTCACAAAAATTCCAAACAATTTCAAGGAGTTCATTGAGTCCTGGGGTAGCGCTATGGGATAACGCACTGGACCGCAAAGTCGGTGATCCCAACTCACCAACCACTTCTTGGAAACCCCATACAGGGTCGCTATGACTCGGAACTGATTCAACGGCCGTTAACAGCTGCCACTAAAGAATTCTACTCTCTGGCTCACAGTATCCAGAGAAAACAGGACCTTCCAGCTGTTTCAAGTGCCAAATCCAGCCCTCTGAAGACACCCTACGCATTTCAATGGCAGCTACAAGGTATTTGAAGAGTGAAAAGTAGTATTCATTCGCTTTCCCTCGATGGCAGACTTAAGAGGGGGAGGGAATTCTGCGCGCTACTTCCCGTTTTCCACACGAGAGGAAATTTAGAGACGTGGAGGTGGGAAGCAGCACCCCACACACAACCAGCAAGAGGTGGTTTTTTGCCAGGAAGAAGCAGGGAAACGTCTGGAAAAGGAAGGGGACCGTGCCCCTTTCCGGACACGCTCGAAGAACAGGCCCAAGGCCTTCCCAGACTGCGCGTCTCGTGACCAGAGAGCAGCTGAGAATGGCCCCTTCCCCTCGGACGTGCTCTGGACCCGGGGGCGGGAATGTGCGGCCAACGCTGACACACGTAGGCGGCCGCTCCCTTTCCCCCTTCGCCCATTCTCAGGGCCGGGACCGCGCCCGCCAAGATGTCCGGAATCACTCAATCCCTCGCCCACAGACTCCCCGCGGCCCCTAATGGCACAGTTCCTCGGGCGAGAGCCAGGCATCAGTAGGCGCCGCCGTCCTCACCATCCTGTCACCGGGCTCCGCTCAGTCACAGCAACCGCCACCACCCTCTTCCTCAAGGCCCTCGACACTCCGCCTACTTCGCCCACAGCTAATCAAATAAGAGAGACAGACAGGAACCGGCCCTACGGAAGCCTACACAGGCACGTCTCCGTCGTAAAGCGAAGCAACTCGTTGAGAATAGGAGACTGGGTGAGGGAGAGAGAGGCGTGAGATCACGAAGGTTCTGGCAACATCCGGGCACCTGGGGCCGTCGAGCTGAGGAGAGCAGTAGGTCCCGGCTGTTCTAGGATCCTTAACCATGTTGAAGTGTGGAATGAACGGCAGTCAAGTGAAAGGTGGAGTGGCCTTTCCTGCCTTCCTACGTCGAGGGGGGAGGTTCATGGGTACATCTCCATCTTCTTATTTCTTCTCATTGATGCAAAGCGCCTCAGGAGAGTCCAACACCTGGACTTGGTCAATCCCCCCCCCCCCCCCCGCCCGAAGTTTCCCGAACTCTTATTAATTTCTATGGGGGAATGAAGGCCCATCTGCTTTATTATGCAAAATAGTTAGTAGGCGGTTATACCTGAAGGAATGAAGATGCACCATTGGGACACAGATTGAGGGCTCAGGCTTTAAAGTTGAGATTGGGGAGGGGGCGAGGGAGGAAGTTGGGAGGGACTCAATTTCCTCATCTATAAAATGGGAATAATAACGGGCCCTTTACCATAGGGTTCGTTGTAGGAATGGAATGGAAATGAATGTAAAGAACTTAGTAAAAATGGAAAGGTACCAGAACTGTACTATGCTATAGTGTCTGTTTGACTCGCCACCACACTATGGCCTGTTAGCAGCCACCCTGCTCAATCCAGGATCTATTATTGTTAGCATTGCAATGGCACTTTGGAGTCCTGGTGTGGTGCTTTGGATTAATGCGCTGGACCAGAAGGTCGGGAGTTCAAGCTCACCAACCGCTCCTCGGAAACCTTATACAGGATCACTATGAGTCGGAATCCACTCGACTGCATTTAACAACAATTGACAGTTTAAAAATGTAAATTATTCAAGAAACAATGGTTTCCTACAGACTAATCTGATAATCGTCACTGAAAGGCATTTTGCCTGGTGGCGTTTAGGATAACCAGGTTTAGTAACATGAACAGGTGTAAGGGGGGATTTATCTTTTGTAGTGTGTACCTCAGTTGTCAATAATAATAATTATTTTATATAATATAGATATGATTGTATTTTTGATAATCTAATTGTTGGGTTTTTTTTCTCTCTCAGACTGTTATGCGTGTTTATGACAGCAGAGACTGTACCAATTTTCAGTTTGTATTCCCAGAGCTTTGCTTGTCTTTGGAACATAGTTTTTGTTAAGTGCCAAGTTGGTTCTGACTCATAGTGATCCTGCATAGGGTTTCCAAGGAGCAACTGGTTAGTTTGTACTGCTGGCCTTGTAGTTTAAACCAACCTGTTAGCCACATTTCTTTCTTCTTCATAATAAAACGACTAACAATGTCCTACCAGGTCAGTCCTAGCCTCTCTGACAGGGCACCTAAGTGAACTTGGTAGGAAAGTCTGACATCTTCCATACCCCTAATTTTCCCTAACTTTTTACTTTGTCCTGGGTGAAGTGAGTAAAAAGCTTCATTTCACCCACTTCAAGTCTGTTTTCACCCTTTTTGTGCTTTGTTTTGCAAATACATTTAACCCAAATTTAAAAATACATCAATATGGAGTTGGTTTGCCACAGTATCTCTGCAAGATTGTCAACATTTAGGAATGAAGAATTGTGTTGCATTTTATCATTTCATGCACTCATTCTGCAATGGTATTGAGCTTGTATAATGTGTCTGGCATTTTGTCAAGGATATTTCTTATACTGTAAAGGAGCGTTGGTGGTACTGTGGGATAAGCACTAGACTGCTAACTGCAAGGTCAACAGTTCAAACTCACCAGTTGCTCCACAGGACAAAGATGAGATTTTCTGCTCCCATAAAGATTTGGGTCAGAACCAACTAGATGACGGTGGGTTTTAATTATACTCTAGTTCTTAAAAGCAATGGAACATTAGTATACAAAACACTCTTTTATGAATTTGTCTTGAGTTCTCTGGGAGCTACAGTAGGCTTATGACTTGTTCTTATTCTTCACAAGAAAGAAATGTAAACAGCACCTTTCTTTTCTCTCCACAGTATTTCGGAAAGCCATCCAAGCTCTATCACGAATTAGTGACGAGTTGTGGCTAGACCCGTCTGAAAAAGGTGTAAGTTAGGAAAATGAACTAAGAGACCCAGCAGTGAAGGCAAAAGAAACTGTTGAAAGATGCCTGTCCAGACTGAATGTTAGCCGGGACAGCCAGACATTGACCCCAACCCTTCCCTTGTTCATCTTTAGTCTACATAGTTGAGTGCCTTTGCAGCATAGTGACATTCATGCAGATAAACATAATTGATTCAAACCGCAGGTCACAAATGGGTGGCCCAAAAAGTTGAACGTGACTTGCAGAAGTGTTTTATGGGGCTTGCCTTGTGTCTTTTAGAGATTTTAAATAATCCCCAACACTTAAAATTCGGAAGAGTCTGTATAAAAAATCTTCCTGCTTTCCTTGAAAACTTAGACAACTTGGGGCTTGCCTTCCCAAGTGAAAGTGTTTGATTGAAACTTAGTAATGGTTTCTACCAGACAAGGTGGGGGACTGTCAGTTTGCTGCGATCTTTTCCTCTATGTATAATGTCTTCTGTCACATCATACTTTTATGTTAACTACCTGACCCTTCATAGGATATACACTGGACTGTGAACCACAAGGTTGACGGTTTGAGCCCAGTAGCCATTCTTTGGGAGAAAGATGAGGCTTCCTGCTCCCCAAAATATTTAAAACCTCAGAAACCCTATATAGGGTTGCTATGAGTAGGAACTGACTCGAAGGCTGATAACAGCAACCTTAGTTTTACCGTATCAGCATGCAAGATTTTAGATTTAATACTTACACGTAATTCAGTCTTGTTGCTTGTTGTAAAATGCTCAAGTCGGTTTCAACTCATAGCGACCCTGTATAGAGTTTCCAAGGAGTGGCTAGTGGGTTTGAACTGCCAACCTTGTGGCTAACAGTTAAGTGCTTATCCTACAGTGCCACACCAGGGCATATAGTTGTATACATATGCAAGTTCAGTATACACTGAAAGTCCATACATTGTTATAGTTAGGTGCCATCAAGTTGGTTCAGATTGTTCATGGCAATCCTATGTCCAACAGAAACAACACGACCAGGTCTTGCACCTGCCTCACAATTGTTGCTAAGCCCATTGGTGCAGCCAGTGTGTCAGCCCAGCTCAGTGATAATCTTCCTCTTTTTGCTGATACTCCATTTTACCAAGCATGATGTACTTCCCCAGGGACTGGTCCCTCTTGATAACATGTCTGAAGAAACTGTGATGAAGGAAACCTGGTGGCACATAGTTAAGTGAGTGGCTACTAACTGAAAGGTCAGCAGTTTGAATCTACCAGCCACTTTATGGGAGAAAAATGTAGCAGTCTGCTTCCATAAAGATTATAGTCTAGGAAATCATATGGGGCAGTTCAACTCTGTCCCATATGTGTTAGAATTGACTTGAAGGTGAATTTTTAACTGTGATGTACAGTCTCTGAGGGGTGCAAACAGTTAACAAACTTGGCTGCTAACCAAAAGGTTGGAGGTTTGAGTTCACACAAAGGCACATGGGAAGAGAGATCTGGAAATCTTTCTTCCCAAAAAATAAGCCACCGAAAACCCGGTGGAGCACAATTCTACTCTGACTCACATGAGTTGACATTGACTTAATGGCACCTGGTCACTATGATGTTAATCATAATGAGGTGTTTTGAGTTAAACTGTCCTTTAATGGAAGTTGATTTTCTTCTAAATAGCTATTGTTTCATTTTACCCCCAGCTTGCTCTCAGATCTGTGAATTCTTGTCGATCAGCATATGGATGCGTACTCTTCTCTTCTTTATATTTTCAATACTATCATTGGTCAAGTCCAGTGGAAATAAATGATAAAGACACAACATCAAATTTGAACTGCCAATTGGCAATGAAGGTAAAATAAAGTGGCCCTGGTTTTCTCTTATATTGTGGAAATGCTTCTTACATAAGAGACAACATCTCTTCCGTACTTGGCTTAAGTGGTATTCAGGATAAGTTTATTCATTGATTCATACTCTTATCTTTTTTAAAAAAATAATATTTTGTTGTGTTTTTGGTAAAAGTTTACACAGCAGTTTAGTTTCCCATTCAGCCATTTCTACACAGATTGTTCAGTGACCTTGGTTATAGTCATCACAATCTTTGAACATTCTCATTACTGCTATTCTAGTGGTTCCATTTCCATTCATTTAGTTTCCATGCTGTCTTACATTCTCATGTTTGTTTTAAGGTCATTGTCATTTGATCTCCTATATAAGTGATTTTAAAAAATACTTTATTGGTCTTATTAGGTGAAAGTTGACACAGCACACTGGTTTTCCTTTTAATAATCCACACACAAATCATTCCGTGACATTGACTACAAGCCCTGCAATGCTTCAGCAGTCTCTCCACTGGTACCCTGGGTTTCCAGTCTTCTCATGTCCCTACCCTTCCCTGCCTTCTCTTTCTTGCCCCTGGGCCACTGTTGCCCTTTTGGTCTTATATATCTGACCATCCTAAGGAGTGCATTCCTCACAGATGTTACCATTCATCCTGAGGTGGTGGTGGTGTGCCGTGGAGTCAGTTCTGACTCATAGAGACCCTGAGAAGGGTTTCCAAGGCTATAAATCTTTACAGGAACAGAGAGCCTCATCTTTCTCCCACTCAATATTTTGAATTGCTGACCTTGAGGTTAGCAGCCCACCTCGTAGACTGGAAACCACTATGCTACCAGAGCTGCTTATTCATCCCATAGGCTAGTCTGTTATTTAAGAGGTAGCCCCCGGGAGTGGATTCAATTCCAAGTTAGAAGGGTGACTTAGGGGGTTATAGTCTTGGGGGTTCCTCTGGTCTTATCAGACCAATAAGTCTGGTCCTTCATACAAATTTGAATTTTGTTCTACATTTATCACCCATTCTAACTGGGACCCTCCTGATCTGTAACTGGGGTCAGCAGTGGTAGCTGGGCACCATCTAGTTCTTCTGGTCTCAGGCTGAACTGATGGCTTCCTTGAGTCTTTGGTGTTCTTGACTCTCCTTTGCTCTGGTCAGGAAGATACCAATAGGTGTACCTTAGATGGCTGCTTGCAAGCTTTCAAAACCTCAGATGCTGTACACCAAACTAGGATGTAGACCACTGTTTTTAGGTACCATGTTATGCCAATTGACCTAGATGTCCCCAAGACTATGACCCTTTTCCTTTAAGCTCAGTATCTCAGTTCCATGAGGAGTTGGTTATGTCTAGAAGTTTCCATAACTGTGCCCCTATATCTTCTATTATAAATGTGAATATGCATGTAGTACATGCAAATATATATGTAGAAATATCAACAACTATACCTATATATGGAATCCTGGTGTGGCTCTATAGGATGAGCCCTGGACTGCTAACTACAAGGTTGGCACTTTGAGCCCACCAGCCACTCCTTGGAAACCCTACATAGGGTCACTATGAGTCAGAACCAACTAGATGGCATTTAACAACACCTATACATAAGTACATGTATAGTCTTTTGTGACCTCCCACACCTATACCTATACCTACCTATGTATCAACTCAAAAATTATTGTTAATATTGTTGTTGCAGGATTGTATCTGTTATAGTATCCTCTGTTGTTGCTAGGTGTTGTTGAATCAGTTCCAACTCTTAGTGACACATTTCTCAGTCCTGTACCATTCTTGTGTACCTCTCAGTTTTTCCTTTGCCTTGGTCATTGTGCTGACTTCTTCCACATTTTGTATTGCTTTTCTCTTCAACAGAATTAACACATGTCTACAAACAGAAAGAAACATTCTTTCATAACTACTAGTTGATATTATACAGCACCCTGGTGTGGTGCTGTGGGTTAATATACTGGACTGCACAGTTGGTTGGAACCACAGGGTTGGTGGTTCAAGCTCATCAGCTGCTCCTTGGAAACCCTATACAGGGTTGCTAAGGGTCAGTACTGACTCAACGGCAGTTAACAACAAGACTTGATTTTATAAAGGAGTGCAGTCCTTACAGATGATATTCATTGTTTTTTGAGACAATTTGTTATTTAGCTCCAAAGTGACTTCAGGATTTTAGTTAGTTTTTTCAAAACCAAATAAACACCCATATTAAGTATGTGCTGCACTATCTGTCTTACAGTCAATTCTGCCAATCTTTAGATGTCTGAATTCCCTGGAAAGAAATGTAGAGAAGTGCAAAATAGTCACCAGACCTGAGAAATCCAAAGTAGTTATTCAGTTCTTCTGCAGACATGGTAGGTGTTGTTAAAACTATTGTAAAATCATTGGTTTTTCTCTTAATATGTTTCCTATCTGCAATATTCCATATTCACAATTCATGTCAGACTTCCCATTTGCATTATTACTTAGAATTTGTATGGTAATATATAGCGCAATTGTATGTAGTTGAAAATGATTTTCTTACCTGTTGCCTTAGAGATACTGTGGAATATTTTGTATTATATAATCAATTCCTTTCTTGACTGTCAGTGACACAAGGCTTGCTTGACTACAAACCAGTTTGTTTTAAAATGTTCCTTTGAATTCGAACAATGGGCTGTTCTAAAATGAAGGGGCTGTTGGATGATACTCTGCCAGAATGCTGTGGGTGTGTTGACGTGACCACAAATATTCCTTGCTAAGAACAAAGCATGATGCCTACTTCTGAAGCATGCCTAGCACATTCCATTAAAAGCCTCCTAGGAAAGACTTGAAGGACTTCTGGTAGCATAGTGGTTACAAATTGGATTGCTAACCTTAAGGTCAGCAGTTCAAAACTACCAGCAGTTCCGCAGGAGGAAGGTGAGGCTTTCTGCTCCTGTAAAAATTTACAGCCTTGGAAACCCTATGCAGGGTTGCTATGAGTCGGAACTGACTCCACGGCACATAACCACCACCACCACCACCAGGAGAGATAACAGGGGGCTTCAAAAGTTTATGGAGAAATTCCATTTTCTTTTAATTCTGTTGTTCCTTGAACTTTTGGAAGCCCTTTGTACTCCCACACACCATACCATATACATAGGTATGTATTCACTCATAAATTGTGATTGTTGCTCCCAAAGGACTGTGTATGTAATAGTGTTTACCACGCCACCTTTCAGTTGACGCACACCACAGTGTCTTCCTTTGCCAAGACTGTGTTGTTGTTGTTGTTGTCAGGTGCCATCGAGTCGGAACCGACTCATAGCGACCCCATGCACAGCAGAACGAAACAATGCTCGATCCTGGGC